TCACACATACATTATGTCTGTCAAGTATTGCACTGTCTGGAGATAGTCGTGGAATGCCAAACCGCTTAACAACTTCTGGTCTAGTCCAGTCACTGCGTGTGCCGCCATACCCAAAGAACTTGAAAGAACAATAATGCTTATCGTGAATGGTCTGGGATTCAACAACCAGCAGCAGCACCTCTGCTGGTGCCGAGGGATGCCACTGCCCTGTGCCAAGCACTTTGCACATGTACCAACTTTGTAGCATAATAATACGATCAGCCCCATTTTACAGACGAGGGGACTAAGTCATACAGAGGTTAAACAATTTTCCAAGGTCACACAGCTGGCAAGCGGTAGAGCCAGAATTCATCCCCCGCCGTCCTTTCAGAGTCCGCACTCACACACTGTGCCGCCCTGTCTCCTGGGATTGTTTTAATTGTGCCTAAAAACCAAGCAGGCTCCACGTGTAACAAAAACCAGACACCCCATGTTCAACCCCATGTTTGCGGAAGAGACTCTCAGCCGGGGAGTCCCACTCACTCACTCACTCAGTGAGGCATATGAGAACGTCAGTGCGTGGAGAGGTAAAATTTTTTTTAATTTCTTGTACAAGATTTTATTTATTTTTAGAGAAAGGGGAAGGGAGGAAGAAAGAGGGGGAGAGAAACACCAATGTGTGCTTGCCTCACACACCTCCAACTGGGGACCTGGCCCACCATCCACGCATATGCCCTGACTGGGAGAGAGGTAAAGCTTTCAGTGTGAAAGATATTTCAATTATTTAGGAGAATAGGCATTAAGAGGGCTAAGAAATACTGGCATAAGGGATAATTTTATGAGGTGTAAGCATTTCCAGTATTTTTCTCTTTTTAAAAGGGGTGCCCTGGCTGGTGTGGCTCAGTGTATCGAGTGTTGGCCTATGAACCAAAGGTCACTGGTTCAATTCCCAGTCAGGGCACATGCCTGGGTTGTGGGCCAGTTCCCCAGTATGGGGATGTGCCAGAGGCAACCAATCAGTGTATCTGCCCCTCTCGTTCTCCCTTCTTCCATATCTAAAAATAAATAAAATCTTTTTTTTAAGTGTTGACATTTTAAACATTTATCTCTTTGTTTGTTAGTGCTTTCCTAGCAAGGGAATTTTCATTCCAACAGGGGACCTTACAGTAACAAGCTGAAACTAACTTTCTGGACTATAGCATCTCCTTCCCCATTCAAATATCTGATAGGCCAAAACACCTGTATTCCTGCTTTATGAGAATGTAGTACTATATTTTGAGGGAATGGAAAGGTGACTAAGGATGGGAAAGTTATTTTCTGTGTAAATAAAACTATATTTTGGTTATCTTTCTTTTTTTTAATCAAAATTGTGTGATTGTCCTGCAGGTGTGGCTCAGTTGGTTGGGCGTCATCTCACAAAGCAAAAGGTTGTTGGAATGATTCCCGGTCAGGGCACATGCCTGGGTTGTGAGTTCGGTCCCCGGTTGGGCTGCATATAAGAGGCAACCAATCAATCATTGTTTCTATCTCTTTCTTTCTCCCTCCCGCCCCCCTCTCTAAAAACAAAACAAAACAAAGACACCCTGTGATTTTTTTGAAGTATATTTTCATAATATATTTTATGTATATTTTTATGTATATGTGTGTATATATTTTCATAATATATTTTTTCATACTGTCTACTGCTACTTAAATTTGGTTGCTAAAATTCCCCAGTTTGATATTTAAATGCTTAAATAAGAGAAAGGAATCTGATTCATCAATAACTTCCCTTCTGACCTTTTTGAAGTTGTGTACCAATGGTTGCGTTCGGTTAGTCATGGTTTGAACAGCCTTCAAAGGCGTCTGAGCACGTCACTCTGGCCAAGCGGACCCTTCATAAATTTGACTGGCCCGGGACTGTTCTGCTGATAAACTGTAGAAGTTGTTTGGTGTTTGTAGGGGGCGTGCAATATCCATCATTATGTTTTTTAAATCCTTACTAAGTAACTTGCACACATTTTGCCTGAGCTCGGAAGAGCAGTGTGCATTCCTTTGTAGAACGGCAGGTGGTAGGTACTGGCCAGAGATAGAAAATCATCTTAGACCTTTCAGAAATAACGACAGCTTCTCAGAAGAGGTGTGGAAGATTTATGTCTACTTTCATGCCCTTCCAAAGAACATGCCAGTAAAAGAACATGAAGGAGGTCTTTAAAGGTGTAGACCGTCAAGAGTGGGGAGAACAGCGAGAAAGACAGTGGCACCAAAGCTTGGGCCATTGACAACAGAGCCCTAAGCAAGCCGAGGAGAAAGCCAAAGCCAACCTTATTTGTACCACAGAACCTCCACAAGGCTGAAGACCTGGCAGCATCTTTGCCTGTGGACGTGAGATCGAAAGGATGCTAAACTGGTTAAATCCGTGTAGGGAGAGCTCAGATCCCCAGAATCTCTTCCCTGCATCCCACAGGTGGGCGATTGCACCTTCCCTGCCCTGGCCGGCACTGGAGGTTTACTCTGGAGAGGGAAACGCGCTGTCTGGACTCCCACACACGAGGCAGGGGTCCATCGCACTGTGAAAATAGCATGGCTAGGTGATGTAGGTGTGCAGAGCGCTGAGACTCCCTGCCCTGGTCCCAGTCTCTGCTGCCAGAGAGCTAGCAGTCAGGCCTTCATTAGCCCAGCTTTCTCAGGGGAAATGGTGAAACCAACTAGCCCAGCCACATAGTCCTCAGTGAGGTTCACAGTCAACCAACTTCACTGACATGCTGAGAGTGTTTAGTCAGCTGACAAGGCCCACATCTGTAAATGTGAAGGAGCAACAGAGAATTACCAGGTAACCGGCAAGCTGATCAGCCTCTGCTGTGAAAGGCAGAAGTGGAGGCAAACATAAGACGGTGACTTGGAAGGACAGGTCAAGAACAGCCTCCAGAAGTCCTAATAGTACATGGGAGTTCATTAACCCTCTTCCCTACTTTTGTGCGTGTTTTAAACTTCCCATGGTAATTCTCCTGGAGATGTGAAATTGCAACAATAAAACAATAATAGCATACTATAAAAAATAACACTCAGCACATAGAAATTAAAATTATGATAAAAGATGTAAAAGTTCAGTAGAAAGTTTAGAAGTTAAATAATAAATCTCCCAGAAAGAGGACAAAAAGACAGAGATGGAAGAACATTAATTCCAACCTGAATTCTTTATCTAGTCAAATTGTCAACCAGATGTGCAGACAGAAAGAAGACATTGGCAGAAATGCAAGGTTTAAGTGCCTGTTGTTAAGAAACTGTTGAGGGAAACTGTTGTTAAGAAACTGCTGTACTCCATGAGAATGTGGAGTACAGGCAGAGAGAGGAAGGTATAAGATGTAAGAAACATGAAGTCCACCTTAGGAGTGCAGAGAGTCACCAGGACAACAGGAAAGGGCCTTAGCAAGACGCAAACTACAGGCAGCAAACCCTGAGTCTGGGTGAAACCCTCCAGGAAGGTGAAGTTGAAGGAACGTCTGGTGTACATGAATGCCTTGTGGGGAGATGTCTAGACCAAAGGTCAATGTGGCTTCTATCTGTTTTCTAAATAAAGTTTTATTTGAACACACACGTGTATTTACACACTGTCGCCGGCTGTTTTCACACTACAAGCAGAGTTGAATTGTTGTGACAAAATCACGTGGCCTGCAAAGTCTAAATATCGTTTATCTGGCTCATTAAGAAAAAATTCACAGACTCGATCTGGAAAATTGATTCTGGACAATTGGCCAAGAACATGTGGCTGAGTTAGCTATGTGTACATAGAAAACTATAACTGCTCCATTCAGGGAGAACAAAAATTGGTCAGGAAAGGAAAAGTAGCCATGATTAGCTTCGAATATATTTACATGATTATAATAATGTATATGACTCATATCGTGCTATTTAAAATTACCATACAACTGCATGGGAAGCTGGGAGATTTTTGGTGTGTGGAGGGAATGGGAAGAAAAAAGAGCTTAATCTTCATATTCCATAGTGGGAACTCAGCAGATGAGCCCCCAAAATGAAGAAGAAACATGGTGATAAATGTCAAGGTCATCGGCTAGAAGAAGTACAAATCAATTCCTCTAAGGAGGGATAAATGAAGGGGAGAGTGACAGGCTCTGCTGTTTTTTCACACAAATAAACCTTTTGTAGGCTTTTTAACTGTGTACCTTTTTTAAAAATTTTTTATTGATTATGCTGTTACAGTTGTTCTATTTCCCCCTTCATTCCCCACCTAGTCATTTCCCATATTCTTGCCCCCCTCATTCTATCTACTTCTATCTCTTATTTTCTTCCTTCTCCCCCTCTTCTCGATCTGTGTACCTTTATACCTTTGATAAAGGGGAACATTTTAAAACACTCTTCCCCAAAATTTGGAAAACAAGCAAGAAAAGAAACTCTTTCTCAAGGTCAGCAAATGTAGCATTACTCATGCCGTCCCCTCTGTTCTCACCTCCGGGGGATGTTTATCACCAGCCATCCCGTCTGCGGCAGAGCTGTGTGCCACCCCCAGTCAGTCTGAGTGGAGGTCGCTCGTGAAACCGGTATATCTGATATAGTTGGTGAAAAGGCACCAAGTTAGGGGCATTCTGTCCAGTGCAGACATTCCCAGCGGAAGAACCTTGCTAAGCTGCATTATTCGGCCTAGCACTCGCCTGTTCCAACCCTCAAGTACTTCTTTTAAAATCTCATCTGTTCTAAATACCATTCCTACCTCACACACAGGCATGGGAAGACAGTTGTTTCTCAATGACTATTTATAGATAGAGGATAACTCATATGTTTTTACCATCTAGTACTAGACCTAACACACTAGGCTAATAAACATTTGAATGAATGAATAAGTGAACTCTGTTGTGTAATCAACATTATTTTTAATCAGGGTAACTTGAGAAGCTGAAGAAACCCACCCTTGCAAAAGGATTCTATAACTTCCTTCAGCTTTTCCATCGCCACAGCTGAACTGTGGGTCTGAATGATTTTGACTTCTGAACTAAAGTAATTCTTGCCCTTATTTTCTTAACTAGGATCTTTCCAATTAAGGATGTACCCTTGGAGACTGATGGCCTTTCTGATTGGCTCTACCAACGTTTTATTGAAAAAGAAGACCTCTTATCGCATTTTTATAAAACAGGTACACAGAATGCTGTTACATTCCTTCCTCAAGTTACCAGTAGTTCCAAAGATGCACTTTAGGGAAGATAACCTTTTTTTTGATTCTTCAGATACCCTAAAAAAAATCAAAGTATTTTTATATTTAAGAATTCACCAGAGGGGAGAGGGAAGGGAACTTAAGGGGAAAAAGGGGGAGGGATTTTGAGGAACAAGTATGAAAGACACAGAGATGAGGACTGGGGGGGGGGGGGGGGGGAATGGGAGGGAGGGGGGAGACCGGGCGGGGGGGGGTGGGATGGGAGAAATAGATTAAAAAAAAAAAATGTACTTGAAAAGTAACTAAATAAAATTTAATATTAAAAAAATAAAATAAAATAAAATAAAAAAGAATTCAACATAGAATGTTCACAAGACAAATTTATGTTAAATGTATTGAGGCACTTGCTCCATCAGCCAGTGCACAAAGGTCAGGAGATAAGTCAGATGTTGTGCAAATGGATCTCATTCCAGAGAGTGTGTGCGGAAGACTAATCATGTGTATCTAGTTATACAAGCTGTTTCCTGCAGTGGTAAATGACGTTTGTTTTTTGGCGTTGTAGTTGACTGTTTAAATAATACCATCATCTAGCAATCACTTGAGATCATTTGTAACTGCTTTTTTATATGCTCATTCTTTTTTATAGGGATAAAGTTCAGTTTTCTCCGTGGCAGAAGAAAGTCTATTCACCCTAACATCCCTTCTCTATACTTCAGTCTCCATGTTCACTGAAAACTACAGTGCAATAAAAAGATTTTGGGGCGGGGGGGAGGAAGAAAGGAAGTGATGAGGGAAGGAGGTTGGCACTGGGAGAGCCCCAGGCTCCCCACGGTGCTTGCACACATAGCTGCCTGCCGGCCAACATCAGGGGAGGAGAAGGTTGTCCCGAGTCTGAGGACAGCCATGGGATTTTTGATGAACAGTGCCTTTTTGAAGGCACTGTTTTCTTCCCACTTTGGACGTTTTTTGTACAGAATTAAAGTTCTTGTTGAATCAGACTGTCAGAGGCCTGATGCTGAGCTAAGGCTGGTACCACTCATTACGTGTTTGTAGTGCTTTCGATTTTGCGTGTAGGGTTGTTTCACTCTGCCTTCCTGATCTGGACCTTCTCATTCTGGGGCTGTGGAGCAGGGCATGTGTCTGTGACAGGAGCTGGACCCTGTGCGTGTCGTTAGAATCCTTAATGAGACTAGTAAGATGGCCCTCTCCCTGTTTGCCATCCTTGCGCTTCCTCTCAGATTTTCCTTAAAGTTGAGAGCGGATGGATGCGTGAGAAGGCGTGAGGCAATTAGGAGGCCAACAGGGTCTGTCTCTTTTTGATATTTGGCCTAAATTGTAGCAGCAGTAATGGAGGCCTCTTTTTTAAAAAACCTATTTGCATAATAGACCTTAAAACTTGAAAGTGTTCTCTGTACAGTGCTTGGGAGAAGCAAATCCCCACATGAATCAGCTTAAACTGGGGGATTATCTGCAAGGGCAAAGACCATTGAAATGCCGCAGTGTTATCGAGATGACCTTAGGTAATATTGCCCTGGAATGGCCCAGCTTTCCTTTGCAGAAACCTGTTTACTTTGTGTTTCTCCTCCTTATTATTAAGATATAGTTCATAAATCATATTGCCTTTTGAAAATATCAGATTATTTTAAAAAATCAACCACCTTTAAAAATTAAAAAAACAACCACCTTTTTTTAATTTTAAAAAAAAGTTTTATCTATTTTTAGAAAGAGAGAGAGAAGCATCTATGTGCAAGAGAAACACTGTTCCACTGCCTCTCACAGGCCCCCCAACCGGGGACGTGGCCTGCAGCCCAGGCATGTGCCCTGACTGGGAATCGAACATGACCCTTCAGTTCGATCGATCCACTGAGCCACACCAGCCAGGACACAACCACTTTTTGTGGCAAAGACATTTAACTTGTAAATAGAGGAATGAGTATAAATTAATGCTATTGGGAAAGTATTCAATATTGATTTCACACATCCTGTGTCCTGGCCACTGAGGAGCTCTGTAGGGTACAGTGGGACACAGGGAAGCGGAGCGCCTAGTCTCCTGCAGTTTCCGTTCCAGCAGCAGACAGGCTGTGGAGCGCAGTGGCAAACACCAGGCCCGCGGGCCGAATCCGGCCCTCCACCTCGTTTTATCTGCCCGGCACCTTGTTTGTACCCGGCCGCAGCACTGAGCTCCTTGCCCCTAGTTGAGGAGTAGTTACATTTACACAGTCCTAAAATTACATTCAGCCCTTTGAAGGCAGCCACGAGGCTGATGTGGTCCCTGGCGGAAGTGAGTTTGACACCCCTGCTGTAGAGAAAAGATAGATGGAGATTATTACAGACTGTGCCAAGTGCCAAGACGGAAGTAAACATGGGGATGAGAGCGACTGACTGGGGGCTGGTAGCGGGGAGCAGGTGGAATTTTCTGATACTGGGAGAATGCAGGTGCCACAGCCGTTTTCTGGGACGAGGAGGAAGCAAAGGCTCAGAGGCAGGAGAGGGCTCAGCAGGCCGGAAGGTCTGTTTCAAATGAGATCTCTCTTCGAGAGCAAGGGGAAGTCACAGAAGATGCTTTAAAAAACAAAAATTCTAGTTAAACTACTATTCAGCTTTTATTCCAAGAGACCTTCCACTACAGTAAAACAAAGTAATATTTCCATCTTGCTTTTTAGGGGCTTTTCCGCCTCCCAAGGGCCACAAGGAAGCCGACTGCAGGGCGATGACGCTCAGCAACGTGTGGATCTTCCTCATACAGTGTTTTGCGTTTTTGTCGGCCTACATGTGGTACAACACCCTGCGGTATTTCTACCATTGCCTGTTTTAGGACTCGGACTGGTCACAGTCACCATAGGAATTCAGACTTCCGTGAGTGTGTATTATTTTACATGTGCAAATCAGAATATTAAACAAAAACAAAGGAAATTCCATGGATGGATGAATATTTATCCCCCTTTGGGATATTTTAAAACTCTGTGAAAAGGAGGATCAGTAATATAATGACCTGCTAGTATGTTGTAAGGACTTGTCATGTTTGAAAAACATACACTCTACCACACATCTAAGCGACCATCACCTTTGGAGAAGAGGAAATCACAAGATCATCCTAGAAGACTGAGAGGAATTCTGCTGCGGCAGATACTTGATCGTCCAGTTCAAGCGTCGTCCTCCCGGCCAGTGTCTCCACGAGGGCAGTGCTGTGAGGTGGCCTCACTCCCCCAACGTCTGCTGAGTTACGAGTGACCTCGAGGGGCGCTGGCTGGCACCCTCTGAAGACCTGCCGCCCTGTCGTTTGCCGTGACACGCCAGTCCTCACCAAGTCAGTGAGGTTCAGGGTCAGGCATGTCGGGGGGCGGGGGCGGTGTCCGGCGGACACATCCCCGTTCTGGAACGCGCTCTTCCAGAAGGCTCGCCCAGTCTGTGTTTACACGCGTGAGTGCTTTCCCGTGTGGGGGTGGGCACTCGGTTTCTCCTTTTGTACAGAAGGTATATTGTAGATTGACCATTGTTTCCTACAAAATGCACTTTTATCAGATGCATCTATAGCAAAGGACTGGGATACAGCCTGAACACAGATGTAATCAGGGAGTGGGCTTCTTCAGAGGCCGTCTCGTCCGCGTGTCTTACCTGTGCGCCCGCGCCGCCCACGTCGGGCGCCGCACCCAGCTGAGACTTCTGTCCCGCTCAGTGGCTTTGTTTGTTTTATCTTAATTTTGGTATATTAGCACCAATTTGGGGATGGTTGAAACAAATTCATGCAAAATATTTAAATGATTAATATATGGTAAAATAGGCTAGTTTATTAGAAAAACAAGAGCTACAGCCAGGCTTAAAATGGTGACCGGTTGTCACATGGCACCCCCAGAACCTGTCACATCAAGGAGCTGCCCATGTTGGTGTGGCATGACCAGGAGAGAGACCAGCACACGAGGCTTTGCAGTCTTTTCCAGTCGCTTTTGGAGAAGATAAAGTCCAGTGTCTATTTCTAGAAGGCATTTTTTTTTTTTATTTGTCACTGTCTTCATACAGTTTACCTCACAGTAGAACCAAACTCTTCTCAAAAAGTGCTGGCACCGCCTCGGGCGTCACCAGCGCTCCCTACGTGGAGCACGTTCTTGGTCCGGGGTTGTAAGACTCCGAGCTCCTAGTGGGTCAGTGGTCATTCCCTGTGATGTGAACAGCGTAGGTCCCCGCTTTGTCACTAATCATACAAAGGACAGTTCTGAGAAGGAGGCTGAAGAGTAAAAGTAAAAGGCTGATGTTTTTTGTTTTTAAGTAAACCAAAAAAACCCTGAGAAGATGGAAGGTTTTTCTCGGTGATGTGGGAAAGGCGAAGCCACGCCAAATTCAGGCCCACGCAGCCTCAGCTCTGGGTTCACCCCCTGCGTGTGTGCAGAGCGCGGCACGTCCACAGAAATACCTCACTGACAGCAGGCTGCTGCTAAGAGGCAGGGCCAGCGGCCCTGTGTGTGGCTTGGGAACAGGTCACAGGTGCCACTTCTGTGCAAGCTGAGCACTTCTTTACGTGTTTTGCAGCGATGGTGAGTAGGCAAAACCCACCTCAGCTTAGAAGTACAGATAAGATAGGAAGCCCAATAGAAGCTGAAACATGCTTCTGTTTGAGGCCCAGCAAACGCTGCTGGATGACAGGGTGAACTGGAATTGTTCATCTGAGAGGTTAGCCAGCCGTCCAGGGGATAGTTGCTCGCTGTCAAGCGTGGCAGACACAGTCCTAGCTGTCAGACCTTGTCCTCGTTGTTAAAGCCAACCATGGGCAGAGTGGCCGGTCCTCCTGTCAGAGACGGCGAGAAGGGCCCGTGTGCACGCAGGCTGGGGCCGCTCGGCCGTCACTGTGCTCCAAAGGAACGTGGCGTCGTTTCATACACTGTACACATTAAACAGTCTGTTCTTTAAGACGCTTTACTCTTCAAGTGCGGTCATTTCAGCAGCCTCTAGAGTGACAAATGCCAGTAGATGTGTGAGTCAGTTTTTGCACATAAATCTGTGAGTTGTAAATAGACATGTGTTTGATCTGCCCTGCCCACTTCGGTTCTTTACCGACATGCTCCCCCTTCTGCTTGAGAGCATTGCCAGCGCTTTCCTTACCCAGAGAAACGGGGGTCCTCTGGCTCGCACTGGGGGACGTGAAGAGAGAATCGGTGCTCTAACGCTGCTGTCGGGGAAGCAGCAGGATGCCCCTGTACGGAGCTGAGTAAAAATGCCTGCCCTGTCCTTCCTTTGCAAAATGAGATGGGAGGAGTCTAGTGAACATCCATTTTGTCCAGTGGAGAGAAGATAGCACTGTGCCAGTTTTCTACCTGTAGCTTTTAGAATCCCCGCTGTCCTGCCTAGAGCCCCACGACAGACGGGTGTGCGAACTCCCCGTGCTGGCTCCTGGAGCCCCAGTGGCGAACATCTGCCCGGCCTCAGGTGGGTGCAGGGACTACAGAAGTGACCATCCCAAAATTCACACTTAACTTCAGAAACTATCGTTGGTGTTCAAATATATGACATTGTAGAGAAGCCTGTAGGCCAGTGGAAGGTCAAGAGAAATTATAGAGTGGAAATGATGTCTTGAGTAGTCATGCCAACCAGTTGAGAATCTAAATCGTAGAGGTTTTTTTTTTTTTTAAAGATAACTGTGATTTGAGATCCTCTTGTTATCTATCATATTTTAAAATTACAACCAACCCTTAATTTTCTACAGTAAAGGAACTAGAGATTACCGAGTAATTATTCCACTAATAAGTCATAGGAAGCCAAAAATCTAATTGTGTTTAGAAGTTTGAATATTTATTCTCATCACACTTTTTTTCTTCCTGGATGCTTACTGATTTTAAAAAGTGATTTGAGTTGTTTATTAGTTCCTCTTGCTTATTTATTTATAAGCAAGAAGAAGAAACACAAAAACCTAAATAATGCATAGACTTAAAGGGGAAATCCTAATAATCAAGAGTTGGCAGTATTGCAGTTGTTCTCAAGCGTTTTTATGAAAATGAAACATGAAATCACCAAGTGTAAACCTCAGAACATCACTCTAGTGCTCATATCATGTGGGCCAGTGTTGAGAACGCCTCTTCCTTCTTTGCTCACGTTCCTCTCACTTCTAGTGAATTTGTCTTAGTGAGGTTTTCTGACAATCACTTCCCTAAAGACTCTTCTGAACTAGTGGGACCTGGTTATAATCATAGAACGTAGCCTTTAATCATGGATAGTTTTATTGGATTCTTTTTGTATTGAAGAAAATTTTATTTGCACTACTGCTTGGGAGGAAGAGTTAGTTATTTGATCCATTACGCAGGACTCCCTCCAGAGTTACCATTACTGGCATAGCAGCTCCGGTCCACAAAGGACAGATGGGAAAGGTTAGTCTCATTTGTTGCCACGTAGGGCTGTGAGCCTTGCTTCTGGTAACATGAAAAGCAAAGTCAGAAGCAGCCCGGGGCAGCAGGAATCCTGGGTCACTGTATGAGGGGGAATAAACTAACATGTTTGGGACCAAAACCACCGAAGTCGGACCTTTCTGGATCACGGGGGGCCGGGCGTTCTCTGGAGTGGCCTCTGGACGGTGCTTTGTTGTGCTCGTTCCGCATCGATCTCCAGCACACGGGGACTGGACCCTGGGCATGAACCGCAGGTGCAGACCTGTTGGGGCAGTGTGGCTGATGGAAGATAAAATGTGTTTTTCTGCAAAATTTCCATGTGCGGATTTTTACATTTAATATTTTTTTAAAACAGTTTAAAGAGCAAAAAAAATTTTGTGTATTCTAGTTGCAAAATATGCACACATATTTTGAATGGCTTTATTTTTATTGTGTAAAACTGTTGAACACACGTGTCTGGGATGCACACATTTCTTACGTGTAAGGAGTCCGTGCATTTCACAGGGACTTCTGTTCTGACTGGGTAATGAAGCAGTTACACATCGGACTGCCGCGGTTGTGTTAAGTGCTCTCTTTTTCTTTGCAGTTATCACAAAGTTGTATTTATTTTATACAGTTGGATTTCTGTTTCCTGATGCCATAATGTTTACTTCAGCTCAATGACCTGTCTTGCTCTGTGTGTCTCTGCATGTTGTGACAATGATGAGAATGAGTGTAAGGGCTGTGGCACCTGTAACTTTTGTGAAGGGCTGGTCACACGCGGATCTGGTTTGTGAATGCATTGGAGTTATTTCAGTAACCAGATTACCTTTTCAGAAATTGAGATGTGAACACCAAAAGAAGCATTTTCTCAATAACAACAACAAAAATTAATAGCTGGTTCTATTTTTTTTACCCTAGAAAAAATAAAGTTGATTTTTTTCAAGTGAAGTGCTTTTAATTCTGAGTGGGGGTGGGGTGTTTGTGTTTCGTTGGAGCTGTTTGACCTGAACACCTGTAGACATGCATGTGGAAGATGCCATGGCAGGTGGATGCTGAGGGCCGACTGGAAAACCAAGTGAAAATCAGTCTTCCTTTGGTTTTCAACTCTCGCCCCTCCCCCTTCCCTGTTCTTCCCATCAGTGGTGTACTGGCAAAGGCTTCCCAGTCTGCTCTCCTGGGGGAAAAGACTTGTATACAAGGGCACATGTCATAAATTTTGATGATAGTGAGGATTTTATAGCACAATTAACAGATAATAAGATGTACTTTATTGTAAATTCCATAAAGCCAGTTGATTCTGCCAGGGTGCTGTAATTGATTTTTGCTGAACTCTTTGGCTAGTTATGAATGTTATCCAACCGATATTTGAAAAATGGAATTATATCCTAATCCACTCATTTCTCGGATTTGTCATTCAGTCTAATATGTGATCTACTGTTCAGCTATTTCTTAGCCTTGTACAAATTATACTCTTTTAAGTGAACCAGTTTTAGCTTCAGCACCAAAGGGAAGTATATATAATTTAATCTTAACAACAACCGGCAAAATTCTAAAACAGTTGGCTTTCTTGCTTGAGCTGGTAGGAGATATCTGTGGCCCACCGCTGCCCAGTTCTGTTTTATTATTTTTGTTTTGTTTTGTTTTTTTAAGCTGTTCGTGTTGAATAAACTTTTCACAGTTAATTCACTCACTGCTCTTGGTAAATTCCTAGCTGTGACCTGGCAAAGGGACCTTTAAGGGTAGGAAAGCATTAACCATCATTTCCACAGAGCAGGCTTTGGATTTTTGGAGAATGTGACAAAAAGCAACTTTTCCTGAACTGCATGTAAAGTTTGCGTATTTTTAAAGTTGGTTCTGTGCTTTCATTTTTCAAAGTAAACTGGGATTTAGGCTTCTCTAAGATTTTGTTCTGAGCATTTAAAATGTTTTTGTTTCTATGTTCCACCCCACTGGAAATTTTGAAGTGGATTCAGATGTCTCACACAGTCTACACAATGAGTTCAGTAGTGACAGTTCAGTCTGCCTCTCCTCTTTCCTTTCTGGGTTTAGGATGCTGATCTGGCGAAGCTGTAATTTTTCCCCTGGAAGTGGTTTCCGTGGAAGACGAAGAATAAACGGGGCAGAGGCCTGAAAGCTAGTTCCAATCCGAGATCTGGTGCTGACCAGCCCTATTCCTCATGAGTTGGGGGGAAGAAGCCATTGTTCTTAATTTTCACTTAATATGAAAGCGTCTGTTTCAAAAAATGTTTCTTCCTGCTGGAAAAAAAAAATGTATTTTTAAAAGGGAAAAAAATTCTCTTTTTGGCTATAAGAAAAAGTCAGCTGTATGAGCAGGTGTGACCATATCATAACATGCTGATATGATATAAATCAATAAATTTTTACCTCTCAGGACTCGGACAAGCTTGTTCTTAACTCTTAGAGGCTTGAGAAACGTAAACTAAGTATCAATAATCCGGAGAACAAATGGAACGTGGGAGGAGGGTCGGCCGACCACTGGAAATGAGGCAGGCTTTTTTCATAATCAGAAAATACTCTGAATTAGCTATGATTAAACCCAGTTTTACAGAGGAAGAAGTTGGAATGATGGGTTTTGGTTTGGTTTGTCGTCGTTGCTAGAAAGCATACGCATCTCGCAGAGCTCATTCCTGAGCCCTTCCCTGCAGTTTCCATGGCCTCTTCTCGGAATGCTCCCTGCCCTTGAGGTGTGACTTGAGGTTGGTGGCGTTCTCTTACCTTAGGCAAGAGAGCACACTGGCCATCTGTGTGACCGCCGCAGTGTCGCTGAGAAGTGGCCAGGCTGGGGCACGGCCCCTCAGAGAGCAATTGCTGCGTCTTCATTCCTTGGTTTTATTTTTGATGAAAAAACTGCCTGCAAAGGGGCTTGCCCTCTTTTTTACCAGTTAACTAACACTGACTCAGGACCAGCTGATGGACAGTTGTGGGAAGAGAAAAGAGGAACCTAGCAGTGGAGAAATCAGAGGAGCTTTGGGGCTCTAGGAAGCAGAGCCCAGGAGCGCTGGGAAGCAAGGGAACTCCAAGGGCCACAGTCTGCAAACAGGCAGACACACCCTGACACGGGAAGGCCCCCGGAAGTATTCACACGCGGAAGTCTTAAGGAAAGCACCTTCCGTGGAAACTCTGCCCCAAAACTGCCAACCATCCCCACGGGCTCTCCTGTGGGGGCCTCCACCTGGCGTTTCAGAACCTCCACCCTCTTGGCAGAAGAGCGTGCCTCTCAGCCATGACGCATCTCCAGGATGCCAAACAAAGGGACACTTCGAAATATTGGTGGCAAGGAGTCTCTTAATCAGGGCATCTGGAGCCCACAACAGGGCTTTTTATCTTTTCCTGACATGCGCACATTTCAACAAGGGCAGAGGGTGGCATTGGAAATGAGGCATCTGGGTTGCAGCTGGAAGTACTGAGCTCTGCTGTACTCCGTGTGGGACAGTGCAGGCCATGGCCGCTCAGGGCTCCGGGGAAGCACAGAAGTCAAGGCAACCAAGACTTCTCTTGGCTTAAACCCAGGCCTGGCACAGCGTGGCTTTGGTTACAGTGAGTCTCGGGGCCAGTCCGGGCTCAGTGTGAGAGGGTCTCTGAAAGGGTGTGAGTACTGCAAGGGGGGGGCTCACTGGGAGCCATCTGTGAAAACCAGCTATTATGGTGAAAAAAAGAAAATCCCTCAGCTGTTTGAATAATTAAAGAACACCAGACGGGTCCAGAGGGTTCTTGCACTTTGACGGGTTTGCCTATAATTCCAGTAATTGGGAGTTTGTTTTACATCTTCACCCACGGATATGTTCATTGATTTGAGGGAGAGAAACATTGGTTGCCTCCTGCATGCGCCCTAATTGGGGATCAAGCCCTCAACCTTAGGTATGTGCCCTGACTGGGAATCAAACCTGTAACCTTTCTGGCGTACAGGATGATGCTCCAACCAACTGAGCCACCTGGCCAGGGAAGTTTTTGGAAATTTTTTGCTTCTAAATACTTTAAAGCACATTCAATCTGTTGATCCATCCATCATTCATATAAATCACATTAATCTAAGGAACGCCCATCGGAATGAATGGAGGTTTTTTGTTAGTCTGGCACCGATGAATGCATCGGCCCTGAGGATTTCGGGGCCAGTAGGAACTTTACAAATCACCCTGTTTTATGATGGTGCCTCTCATTCTGGTGTCATTTTGGTCCATGGCTGGTAGCGTGAAATGTCTCCTTAATAGAACTACAAAGACCAGAACCAAGTCTCTTTATTTCCTCTCAGATGTTTTCCCCAGAAGAGAAGATTGCTTCAGCTCGGGTTTCTGTTTAGAGTAAATAAGAGGTAAACCCAGAGGACGGAGTACCGTCGTTACAGGGCCGGCAGATCCAAACGCTTCTACAGTGCCCACCGACCGTACAGTAAAACTTACTGGTCCCCAAATGCTCTCAGACTATTGTTGCGCATTCTCCTCCGCTGTTGCAGAGATGCAACGAGCCACCAAAAAAAGTCTGAGATGCTTGTTTTTATCTTTTTGGATGTGAAAGTGAAATGTATTTGGGTTTTATTCTGCCTTCTACAGAAGAGAAGGAGAACGCCTTTGTTTCAGACCAGAAGGGATCGTGATTTCAATCTCCCATTAGGTGTTTCCATTTCTGAACTCCAGGTGTGAAACTGGCAGCAGGTCATGAGTTCAGGGCCACATCTCCTCCAGTGCCTAATGTCCCTCCATCATGGTGGCCTCTGGGTTCCAGGGCTTATCCAAATGGGAGCCAGCCCCGGAGCTCGAGTGCTGGCCCCTCTGACAAGTTCTCTTCTCTCACCCTCATTCTGATCGTGTGTTCAGTGGGGTGTTTTCAGAGTTCCTGTCCATGTTAAATGAGACTGTGCATGCGAAGCACTTCATACCGACCGACTGCTCAGTACGGAAGGCTGTTGGATCCCACCCCAGCTGGGTTTCGCAGAGGTTGCAAACTATCCCACATCTAGCTACGAGCGAGGTCCTGATGACCTGTTCGGTTCAGTCTATAATGCCTGCCATCCCGTTTTCCAGAGCCCTGGGTCCCTTGGGTTTCTAGGGTAAACTGAAATGCAATCAGCATAGCCAAGCTTCTAACCTCACCTCATCAGACTCCATCTGGTCACCTAAGGCTCCAGACAGCAGCAAGAAAAAGCTTTGAGGTTGGAGAGCCAATTAGGAAGGCGAAGAGGAGAAGGCATGAAGAGGAAATAGGATGTACTAGACATAAGACATTACATAGCCTTAATAGGGACCTATTTTTGCTTCTGAGACATGATGTCACTTATGGCGAAGACCTTGAAATAATTATGGAAAGGGGGGGAAATATAATTTCTAGTAGTTGGAAGCTAACCACCAGCCCTTAATTCTCTATGTATAATTCATACGATCCAAGATATAAAAGCCTTGATGTCATTGATGGCATCCTAAAGATTCAGGAAGCAGTGACTTTTAAAACCTTTTCCCTTCTAGTTGCAGAAGGCTCTGAGATTTCAATTATAAATTGAGGATTCACATTTCGTCTTTCAGTTGTAACTTCAGTGTACTCAGTTCTTAGAAGTTTAGGTACCAGAAAGAAATGGGCAGATTACAGTCAAATATAGTGCCCTGGCTGGGTGGCTCAGCTGGTTGGAGCATCATCCTATACACCGAAAGGTTGTGGGTTCGAGTCCAGTCAGGGCACATGACTAGGTTGCAGGTTTGAGCCCCAGTTGGAGAGCATGTGGGAGGCAACCAATCAATATTTCTCCCATCGATGTTTTTCTCTCTCTCCCCCTCTCTCTCACCATTCCTCTCTAAAGTCAATAAAAACGTATCCTTGGGTGAGGATTAAGAAATATATATATCGTTTATGGTTATTGAGTGGAGTGCAAAGGACCCTTAGGTGGAGCTGGGACAGCAGGCAGGACCGCGAGCTCAGCTCTGCCCGGGCTGGGAGCAGGGAGGTGATAAGAAGGTGACGCTTCAATGCCTGATCTGGCCCCAAGAGCCTTGATTCTCCAGCCCGATACCCAACCTGCTGCCCAGCCCGCCATTCATAGAACCTGTTCAGAGTACAGACACCAGAGGTGGAAATCCCAGGAGACAGGATGAGGGACAAAGGGAGACTGTGGCACAGGTCTCTTAGAGGAGATGTGGAAATAGTTAGAAGCCGTCACCTGGTGGGAAGCCTGGCGTGAACAACTCTTGTGCCTGCCCAGACATGACTGTGCAGAGCAGTCCTGCGCTGGTTTACAATGGAGAGCACCTGGCTTTGTTTTCCTAAAGGATGATTACAACAGGCAAGGGACGGAAAGAATGAATGAATGTGGAGTTTATAAAGCAGTTTCTCCTTGGAGACAGAAGCGGGATCGTTGACTACTCACCCTTTCGAAGCCGCCTCACTGAAGGTAAGGCGTAGCAATTACAATCAACAGGAGGTGTGTCTGAGTGATGGGGAAGCCCGGTGTCCCCCCCGCCCCCACTCCCAGGAGCGTTGACTGGGACTACTTACTGTTTTTTAAAAGAGAAAGGAAAGAAGTGACAGGAGGGCCAGAGCCCCAGTGGCAGTGACCTGTCTAAGCACAGGGGTAGATCCTGGCACGAGAGACCAGTCCAAGCAGACTGCCGCAAGGGTCTCTCATTCGGAAGGTATTTATTGCTGGGGGTGGGGGTGGGGAGGAGTGGTGGTGAGCACAGAATATAAGCACAGAGATGAAAGCTGCAGACAGGAAGGAAGTGAAAGTAAAGGCTGGAGCCACTGAGGGCTTGGCATAAGCCGCGGCAGCAGCTGGGCATTCAGCTTACTGAGCCAGTGGGAAGCAAGGAGGTCCCTCCTGCCACATGCTCAGTGCCAGACATTTTGGTGGAGTGGGTGTGTGCCTACCAGTGAGTCTGCACCGTGAGCACCTGGCTGCTCCTGCCGGGGTCTCCAGCTCTTCCCGTCAACCCTGCACCCCACCAGCAAGACAGCAAGTTGAGGAAACCCTTCCTGCCGGCTCAGGTCCCAAGTCTCAGGGACCTGCACTCACAGCTCCTTGCCCTAGCCATTCCCTCAGGCAGCTGTGGTCCAAATGGGAGGGGACTTGTGAGGTGCTCAGGATTTTGTGGATGAACGTTTTCCCCTAGTCTAGGGTGGGACAAAAACCCCATGGTTCCAGAAGCTTCCATTTCTTTCCCTGACTGGCACTTTTACAAGTGTGTGTTTTACCCACATTTCTTGTGTGACTGTCTTTCTGGCTGTTTGAGGCTATTGTGTTTTTGTTGTTTTTACGCTTCTGTGTTATTTCTTTGGCCGGTGGGGAGGGGAAGTTCTGTGATCCTGCTTTATTCCACCATCTTGAACAGAAGTCTAATACATTTAACACAGTCAGCTTGTTAAAGGCTGGCTCAGCTCATGCTGCCTTCATGGCTGTTATTACATTACTACAGCTCAGGGGGGAAAGATTTAGTATAAACAATTAAGGAGTTATTTTGATAGGCTGAAAGCCTTCCTAGGCAAAGTGAGACTTCAGTTGCCGAAAGGAAAAGGGAAAGGCCCAGGGGGGCTGCAAGGACAGCTAATCCGCAACTTCTGCTCCTGAGGCAGCGCCCACCACGCCGAGGGTGGGGGGCGTGCAGTGAGGCGGTCCTGGTGGAAGGGTTTGGAGAACCTTACAACAGTCCACACAAGTGAGGGGCATTTACAGTTAGAAATGACAAGGAGACAGGTCCTTTCTTGTCACCAGAAGACTTCTCAAAGAAGCCGGGCAAGCCTGGGTCAGGGGTACTAGGTAGGAGAACCCAACGCTGGTGGAGGTTGGGGCAGCTGACCCTTGAGGCTTACCCTGCCTGTCTGAGCCATTGTCAGTCACTGGGGCTGTGACAGAAGCTCCCACTCTGCCTGCATTTCCTGCCGTTCTCTGAGGGAAGAAACAGCTCAGAGAAGGGGCTCGTTCGCTCTCATCCCTGGTGAGAGGCCTCTCCCGGAGCATCAAGCCACCAGGCAGGACCCGCCACTTAGGTTGTGGGACCAAGTGCAAAATGAAAATGCAAAGCTCCTGCCTGGTTAAATAAATAAATAAAATTAATTAATTAAGAATTTCATGATGGTGGCAGCAGAGCATTAAAACAAGAGCAGGTGACATGTTATTGAAGTCAGCCACGCCACCAGGACCACCAAGGAGGAAATGAGGATTAGGAAGGACGCTGGGGGTCCCCAGTGTCCCTCCTCGCAGGGCGCTGCACAAGGAGCTCTTGCGGAGGAGGGGCTAGAGGAGCAGGCACCAGGCGCGTCCCCTGTGCCCCACAGCGCTCCCAGCGCTCACACCTCGGTACTAAAGACACGGATGAAGTGGGCTCTGGTAGCGCCACTATTGTATAGACGTACGGAACGGCACACGGGGTTTAAGTGACTTGCCCAAGGTCACCCAACTAGCGGTGGCAGAGCCAGGTTCAGAGGCAGGCAGTCTGGCCTCAGTCTGGCCTCTTAGCCACTGTGATTTACTCTTTTCCAGGCGGTTCAGTACAGTTGCTGAGACAGGGGGCAGGTGCCGGGGAACTGTTCTGGGAATGTAAATGGTTCGCCGGGCCTCAGTCTCTTCTCCTGTATCGCCCTTAGTAAAACCATACCGAACCCCCGCGGGAGGTGGGCAAGGTGGCCAGCAGCCACAGCTACCCAGGCAGGCAGAGATGACCGTGTGCTCATCCAGGTGAGGGGTGTCTTTACTCGGGTCCCCTCAGCAAAGCCTGAGGTAAGGCTGTGGGCTCTGCTAGTTTATTTGAGAATTGATCCCTGGAATGAGTTAAAGAGAAGAGAGAGTGGAAAAGTAAGGTAAGGTAGGGAAAGGGAGGGGAGGGGAGGGAAAAAAGCCAGTATTAGGAGGCATTGCTGCGGCCTCCACTGTAGGCAGGAACTCAGCTCTGCAGGCTGTGCACCCCCTACCACCTCCCATGCCCCCTGGTCGGGGCCTTTCTCTGAGGCCATTACCTTCCCCAAACTGCTGGGCCGCCCTTGCAGTGGTGAGAAAGGCTCCCCTGGCACCAGAAAAGCTCCAAGCCCAAAAGCAGAAAGCCTCAGGACTTGTGCTTGGGGTGGGATGTGCCCAAGCTGAGCGTGAGCCCCCAGGGAACCTGAGGCCTTCACCACAATGGCAGCTCAAGGCAGTGGGCCAAGGGCATACATATACAGTGAGGGACACCGAAGCCACCTACACAGAGGCCACCAGATTTCCCCAGGAACCAGCCTCCTTTGGGAGGGAATGTAGGGATGGCAAGGATATCTGTGGACAAAACGCCATTTGTATTGTTCCTTGCTTCACACTCACTGCGGTTGCCCATTCTTAGAGCGACTCGCTCACCTACCCTCTGCCCGCGAGACAAACACCAAAGCACAGGAGAGCGGGGCAGAGGCCTGGCACCTGTCCATCTGTCAGTTGTTTTCTGAGTGGACTGGGAGGGGTGATGGAGGGGAGAGAGGATGCAAGCTCTGTCCTCCTTACAGCAGCACATCAACACACCCCATGCGGCCTCACAGAGATTAGCTCGGTCTGTGCAGAAGAGCTTCAGGTGAGGGGTTAATCCCCAGCCTTCCTAGAGAAGGAGCCGAGAAGCCCAAGGGTGGCTTCAGAGTGAAGCCCCGCTGCTGGCAGAACACAGACACCCTGCCACCCTGCTCCTCAGCCCCTTGTCCTGCCCGTGGGGCTGCGGCTTCCAACCGGCCGCTGGCCCGAGGCCGGCCTGTGCTCAGCCAGGGTTCCTGGCTCAGCAGCAGATTCTCGGAGCCTCTGAGCTGAGCCCTCCCTGCCCCCACGCCCTCTTCCCTGAGCCACGTTTCCTCAAAACCATTCTCTAGCCCCAAATCGCCTCCCTTGCTGTTCTGAGAGACTGGTTGACAAGTTGACCGACCCAGAGCCCCTGAACCTGTGGAAGTTTATGACTGTTACTAAACTTGGAGAGGCCAGGGAACTAGAAATCTCTGAGTCAGGTCCCAGCTGAGCCTCTTCCCAGCCAGCTAGGTCAGACTCCCTCAGTTTCTGCATCTGCAGACAGCAGTTGGCCTGGCCACGTCCAGCTCGTGGTGCTGGTGTGAGCGCAAGTGAGACAGTGTCTGCGAGCGGAGTTTTCAGCCCGATGGAGCTGTAGGTCAGGGGAACATAACAGCATTGTCTAATGCCCTTGTGCCTGGCATGGCACTGGTCTCTCCACTCCCTTCCTGGCACACACAGTGGACTTCGTTGTTTGGAGCCTGTTAGCTTGGCACACGCCTGCTTGTCTGGAATCTAAACTGGACACTCAGACAGGCCACTGGTGGGTTGTCTTGGGTTGTGGTTCAATGGAAGGGGCACCCAGGGCCAAGGGTCCTTGCTCCAGACCCAACAGCTAGGGGCTCCGTGGCCTTTGGCAAACCCCTTGATTTCCTAGAGCCCTGTGTGATTCATCTGACAAAAGGGGCTATTATGCCCGCCTGTCGACCCCGTGGGTTCTCCTGAGGGTCAAGCTAGACTGTGGGGGGCCAGTACGCAGCGTGTACTAAGTACTCAAGCAGTAAGTGAGCGTAGGGATTATATCTGACGTGACCCCGCAGCACGCAGCCACTCATCAGGCCCAGTGTGGGCTTGGACGCGCAGGTTTCTGGATCTTTGGAGACAGTGGATGAAGAGAAAGGCTCCTTCCCCTGGGAGCCAGGGGTACAGGTAGTCATCGTCACCAGGATGGTGATGGTGGTACGACATGTCAGAAAAAAGAAAGGAGAGGGAAAGGAGTGGGATTTGAGTCCCAGGAAAGGAAGAATGAAAAGGCAAGAAGTCTTGGGAGGGACGGCAGGAAGGGGGGGGACAGGGCAAGGCTGGGCCTGAACGCGGGGCCTGGGAGGAGGCTGGTGGCAGGTGATGTTGGCTCCCCCTGGCTGCCCTGCCGGCAGAACTCGGATTTTCTCAAGTCAGAGGGCCCTCTCCCTGCCCAGGGAGCTGTGGATGAGCCGTGGTTGCCTTAGCACCCCCTCCTCTGCCACTGATCAGCTTGTCAGTGTGACCCGGCCCTGGCCAAAGGAGAGGTGGTCTACTGGACACTCGTGGGAGGGATTTTCCTCCTCCTTGGTGAGGAAATGAGAGGGACAGGGGGCCTCTTCCCCCCTCTGCATCCGCCCTCCTCCGGGGCCTGTCCCTCCCACCTGACATGAAGCACCTGAGCTGGATAATTGCTGGTTCCTGTTTCTAATCAGCCCCCCCCACCACTGCCCACACTTTCCTGTTTGGACTGCCTGATGTGAGAGGGCGGGGCTTGGAGCCTTCGAGGCAGAAGAAATCCAGGAGTTGCTGTGAAGTTAAGGAACGAAGCCCCTGGACATTGTTAAGTTGCTGAATCCCGGAATTCCCTCCAGGCCATTTTCACCCGGTGTGCAGAGAAGGAATGCTGCCCCGGTGGGAGCCTCTTTAACCTAGTGTTCCGCTGATGGGAGAACCAGGGGTAAGATGGCGCCGGTAGTGGGTGCCTTCGAAGGGTTTGGACAGCATATTTATATATACTTATTTCATTTGTCACAAACGATGAGAGGATAAGTGACCTTTTTAAATATATATATTTATTTATTTATTCGTTTATTATTTTTTTTGAGAAGGGAAATGAGGGAGGGAGGGAGGGAGACAAACACTGATGTGAGAGAGAAACATCCATCCGTTGCCTCTTGCACACACCCTGATGGGGGGTTAGAGCTGCACCCCAGGCATGTGCCCTGACCGGGAATTGACCCCACGACCTTTGGCTTTACAGTACCAAGCCCAACCAACTGAGCCACACCAGTCAGGGCTGATCTTATCTTCCTTCTAAAATAAATGAGGAAGCTGAGGGCCGGAGGGTCACTGACTCCCAAGGTCACGCACTGATTGGTGAAGGGTCTGATGCCCTAAGCCAGGTTTCCTGACTCTCGGCCCAGCATACTTCCTATGCCACCTGGGCGAGACCCAGACCCCAGGTGAACTGGGGCTGCAAACGCTCCAGACAGGTACAGCGGAAGGCCAGACAGCTCCCAGGAGACTCACAGGGGAAAATTAGAGAGAATCTGCTCACCAGCTACTGGTCGGCCATGGGATGGGGGGACTGGGGACCAGACAGAGAGGGAGTGGGGAGGTGGACAGATGAGAAAGGTGGCATGTTCCTTCACTGCCCCCAGGAAGCGCCTAGATGGAGGAGGGAAGGACGAGAAAGCATAAAACAAGGACTGCAGACTTTCCAAGCACAAGGCCAGCTGGCTTCCCGAATGAATGGCCGGCACCGTGCATTTGGCAGCGGGGAGATAGGACGTGCAGATGGATGGGCCAGAGAGACGAGTGTCAGGAGCAGGCTCTGTCTGAGAAGCTTCCAGAAGAGATGAGGTCTGAGTAGAAGAAAGAGCCAAAGAACCTCGGGGAGGACCAGGAAGGGACAAAGAGGGTTGTGGTCCTGTGGTCTCTCTGGAGCCCGAGGTCCCTGCAGTCATGGGGTGGAAAGGAACATGGACTTAATTTTTTTGGTCCTCTCTCCCTTCCTTTCTTGCTTCCACTTTTTCTTTTAATCAACAAATATGTGCTAAGAACTTACCACGGGCTAGGCACTGGGGATAGAGCAATAAAAGACAAGGTCCCCTGGACCTTGCATTCTAGTCAGGAGAAACGGAAAACAGCTAAATTAAACACAGCCGACCTCCTCATTCTCAGAGGTCAGATTTGCAAACTCACCTACTTGGTAGAACTTTCAGAGTCGTGTGGAAACAGAGCCAAGTTGTGAATAATTTGAGTCACCTGATGCGCTCACTCCCAGGTGAGATGGAACCGTCTTGCTCAGCTCTCATGTTATAAACAAGCCTCCTTCCTGGGGCCCGTTGGCTGCCACTTTTTAAACCTTTGCTGAAGTGAGGTCTGTCCTGTAGGCGCAGGAAGGCTGTGAAGTGCCCCACAGAGAGGAGACCAGTGTTAGATGAACTCCACTCAGGCATGAGTGCTGTTGGCTATGGGGTCAACGTTAATGAATCAGCAAAATATGTTAAACTTTAAACAGAAACACACATAAAGCCAGGGTAGGTACTGATGGGTGGGTGAAAGGCTGCAGCCAGGGGCTCATAGGTATCTATACTCGTGTTTCCCCCAGGGCTCAATATTTGCTAATTCGATGTTTACAGCAACTTTCTAGAACATAATTACCTTAATTAATGAGCTAGGACTATACTTTTATTAATTATAGGAGCTGGACGTGGCGGGGCCTCTGTGTTAGTGGCGCAGGTGAAAGAGACAGGTGGGCCGTGGACAGTGGGCGGTGAGGAAGGGCGTCATGCCTCAGTTTCTTTCCAGTGCCCTATTCAAGAGGGATGGCGAGAAGTAGGGTGGTGACTAGGGACAAAGGTGGGTTTAAGATCTGAAGACCCAAATGTGTTTATATGTCGAAGGATGGATAAGTGGACAGAGACAGGTGACAGTCCTGAGGACCAAGTCACGGGACAAGGGAGGGGATGAGCCTGGAGCACGTGTGGAAGGTCAAGGAGCAAGGACAATCGGCACACACTCCAGTTTAGATGACGGGCAGGGAATGGGGCCTCCAAACCAAGGTTACCTCACTCAGCTGCCCCACAGGCCAGTGAGGTCACACACACACAAAACCAAAACCAAAAACAAACATCCCCCACCCCGCAAAAACCTTCATCTTTTTCATGAGTTAGTTCCCAGAGCATTCCTTTTTCTCAATTACCCTTTCACCTCCCAGCAAGTGCAAAGCCATTGCTGAACTTCGGTGGCAGCCTATCAGGTCACTGGCCACCAGCTGGGTCCAGCTCTCCAGGTGACGCTGGCCAGAGGGCAGGGTAGTCCTGCATTGTGCCCCTTGTCGCTGTTACCTGACCTAGGAGATCCGGTTGCCCCAGGATAGTGTTCACTACTCTGTCCCGGGCCATGTGATGCCGTCAAGGGAGGAGCCTGGATGTAAATTATTAAGGAAACCTCAGGTTCTCAACAACTCCCTGGTGATTCAGAGATGCCAAGAAACCTGAGAGGAGTCAGCCCTTAGGCTGCACCGGCTGGGATTGAGCCATTCAGTGATTGAAACCTAAAGTCTGGGGGCTCACCAGGACCCCATGTTAAAAGCCCTCTGCACCCAAAGATCAGTAGGGGAGAGAAGATTGGCCCACTGTTGGAAACCCAACTCCGAAACTCCTTCATCAAGGCCCCCTGGCATGTGTGAAGATGATGAGGCCAAATCCATGCCTGTTCCTCTGGAGGAATTCCAGTGAGGCATGGCCTCCCCTAAAGAGAGGCTTGACCTCAATGTGGAAGGCCTGATCCCTGTCTTCGGGGAGCCCCTGGCCAGAGGACACACACATACACTGGGACTGTAACTGACACAACTAGAACCAGACGCAGGTGAGGAATAAGCACTATGCAGGAGGCCGGAACTAGCCAGACCACTGTAGGGCAAGGCCCAGAGCAGAGGACCAGCAGGAAGTCGCCCCCTTCCTGGAGGCCTCTCCACCCACATCTAGTTCAGAGCTGTGCCAAGAAGGGTCCCAGCTGGTTAAATGCTTGCTGGTTCTGGCTGGGGAGCATCTGGCCACTGCAGTTCCTTACAGGCACAAAGCTGCAAGGATCTTACTCACCTATGGCACTAAGTCACAGACCACTTTCTGGAAAACAGGAAGGGGAAGCAGGGAGGAGTTCAGTGTTCATCCTCTTCAGGTTTCCTTTGGCTTCAATTATCAAGAGAGACAGCCCTTGGGTTTGCTCAGGGCTCTAACTTCCCTGCCCTTGAACACATTATCACACTCACCGTGTGTGTCTTGGGCTCGCAAAGATTGCTGAGCCTGTGGGCATGTGCTTGTGCATGTACATACCCTTCCATCCATGGGCATATCTATATGTGTTGTGATAATTTTGCCTAAGTTGCCCCCCTGCACACGAGTGTATGCAGGTGTGTGTGCTGGGGGTCCTCTTCTGCAAACACACTGAGTTCTCATCCACCAGGTTTTAATGGTCACCAACACGATGATATCAACACAGTGACATCAGCACAGGAGGCTGAACATCGAACTGGGTCTCACCAATTCTCTGGCTTTGTCCAGAGCTGATGCATGGACCCTAACGTCCCGAGTGCCCCTTCTTTCTTCTCAACCTGCCACACATCCCTGAAGAACTCTTGTATTCCACACCTAAGACTTTCCAAGAAGGGCTGAGGGTGTGTGCCCTTTGGAGCTTCTACTGACTCTCGGTTCATTTGTTCCCTTACTCCTCAATCACCGAGTTTCTGCCAGACCAGCTACCCTGTGTTAAGGGTCAGGGATGCAGCTGAAATAATCCCCGTCTTCTTGAAATGCGTACTCTCTCAGGGAGAAAGGCCTGGACAAAACTATTCATATTCAGAAGTAGCTCTGATGAGCATATGCGAGTGTGGAGAAAGGAGACGCAAATGCCCCTGAGGGACCCGGGGAGGTTTCATTGAGGTCACATTTGGCTAGTACTTGAGTGGAGTTTCGACAGCAGAATGTGCAGACCAGCATTGCAGAGCAACAGTGCAGTGGGAGATCTGGGAGCGAGAAAGCCCAAGGGAGGTCTACTTTCAAACCCTTCGTTGGGGCTGGGTGTTGCTTGACTCCAGCCGAGTGTCTCTCACATAGAACGCAACGTGCCCCCTAAAGTCGTGTGATGCTGTGGTCCTGCCTTTCTTCATCTGTATTCCTATCGGTCTGTGCCCCAGTCTTTCTTATGTTACATTAAACCCTTTGAAAGTAGGACCAAATGAGCTAAAGTGGGGGGCAAAGAGCATGGGGCAGGAGGAGGCGACTGTGGTGTGTGTACTGTGGTTTCAGACTTCTGCCTCCTGAGCTGGGAGGGAATACATTTCTCTTGTCTGAAGCCCCCGAATTTGTGGTGCTTGTCAGTCAGTCCTGACAAACAAATCCCATGCAAACTGACTTTCTACAAAGGAGCAAAGGCAACTCAGTGCAGCAAAAATAGTCTTTTCCACAAACAGTGCAGGAACAACTGGGTATATATACGGAAATAAATAAACTTGCATTCCTACCTTTTAGCATATATAAAAATTAACTCAAAATGGATCATAAACCTAAATGTAAAGCCAAATCTATAAAATGTCTGGAAGGACTCAGAAGAGAAAACTTTTGTGACCATCTGTTAAACAAAGATTTCTTAGACAGGATACAAAAACATGCTTCATAAAAATTTTAAAAACCCATAAATAAGACTTTTTAAAAATCAAAATCTTGTGCCATTTATAAGATACTGTTAAAAGAATGAAAAGACAAGTCACAGACTGAGGTGCATGTATGTAATAAAGGACTCGTGTTTAGATTTTATTTTTAAAACTCAATAATAAAGCGATGAACAACCCAATTTTAAAAATAGACAAAACTTCAACTAGACAGTCCCCCAAAGAAGATACACAGGTGGGCCAATAAGCACAGAAAAAGATGCTCCCACCATTTTGGGGGGAGATGCACATCTGTCGGGAGCCGACCAGCAGCCGTCCCTTGACACAGTCAGGACGGATGAGATGCATCTGCACAGCAGAGGCAACTGCGGCTGGACTTCCTGTGTATCTCTCCCTTGCATGTTTGTTTTTGCAATTAATAGGTGGTGGGATTTTTAGACACCTGCATTTCAGGCCCAGTGATCTGCATAATTCCAATGAGATTATACAAAATAATGTCTTGGCCAGAGAACAAAGTCCCCCCTAATGAAGTAGCCCCTGAGTATCTAAAAGTTGATGGAGTAACAGCCCCTCCTCTACCTTGGATAGGAATATATATTAAGCTGAATTAGACAGGCAAAGAAACAGGAGAAGCTGGTTAGCTATTACAAACTAAGCACATAGAAACAACTACCAAGGAGTCAGAGTCCATATTACATAAAGAAACATTTTAGACAGAAAGGTAGATAGCTAAGTTAGACATCACAAAGGCCTCATAATAAATTTCCTTAACCTCTGCTCGGTCTAACTGACCTTTTTGCCCCATGCCAAATTCTAAGAACTCTAATAAACAATAAGACATTCAAGCTCTGGCTGGTGTAGCTCAGTTGATTGAGCGCGGGCTGCAAACCAAAGGGTCGCCAGTTAGATTCCTAGTCAGGGCACATGCCTGGGTTGCAGGCCAGATCCCCAGTAGGGGCCACCTGAGAGGCAACCACACATTGATGTTTCTCTAACTCTCTCCCTCCCTTTCCCTGTCTAAAAATAAATAAAATCTTTTTAAAAATCCAATAAGACATTCAAACTCTGTACATAGAGCTATTTCAAATTGTCTGATTAATGGTTCTCCTGGTCAAAACAACTTTTATTTAACATAAATGAAAGTATGGAAATTCTTGTACTTTTCTTGGTTACCTCCGTATTGTTTTTTTCTGCTTAACTGATCACACCATGTATCTGTTCCTTTAATGTTATACAATAATCTCTAAAAAATAAAGCCTTAATCAAACTCTATGAGTTGGGTCTGACCCACAGAGGCTGGCTGTTCTCCGGCATCCAATCGGGTGTCTGACTCATTGTTCATCACCTGTGCCATCCATCGTTTGGGGACCCTGAACCCTGCCGAGGCTGGACCCCAGCACACATCCAAACCACAGACTCTGCTATGCACCCATCAGAATGCCTAAAATGAAAGACCTTCAGTAACAAATGATGGTGAGAATGCAGAGCAACTGGAATTTTCATGCGCTACTGCTGGGAACATAAGGAGGTACAACCACTTCGTAATGAAGTAGTTTTTTAGATAAACATGAGCCTCTCCAACAGTCCAGCTATCCCACTCCTCGGTACGTACCCAACAGCAATGAAAGGGTACGTCTACACAAAGACTGGATGCAAATGCCCATCAGCAGTTAAATGAGTTGAACAAATTACAGTATTTACACAATAGATACTAGTCAACTACAAAAAAGAATAAACCAGCTATGTACACAACAATGAATAAATATCTCTGCTGAGTGGAACAATCTGGAACAAAAAAGCACGTAATGTATGTGCCATTTATGGAAAACGTTGTAAAATGAAATGAGTCTACAGTCATGAAAAGCAGCTTGGTGGTCGCCTGGGGCAGAGTGGGCTGTGGGGTGCAGAGGGGAGCGCGAGAACTCGGGGGGAGTGGAGATGTTCCCGGTACCACGGTGATGGTGTCAGGGGCGTATGCAGGTCAAAGCTTACCCAAGTGCCTACTTTAAATGTGTGCAGTGCATTGTATGTCAGCTAAACCTCGGGAAAGCTACAGAACAAAGAAGAAGAGAAATGGCCATCGTTAGCCATCAGCATCCTTAGCACTAGAGCTGCAGCTGCTGGCTGACAGTGGGGAGTGGAGGGAGGGGGTGAGGCACAGTGGGGTCCCACTGCCCTTACTCCCAGGCAGCCCACCCATATCCATGCGCGCGCGCGCGCACACACACACACACACACACCGAGGACTGGATGTGATGGCAGTAGACCACTGTCCCCACTCCTGAGCCCCTTCTTCAGGACACCACCCATGCTTGCCTGCTGGCTGCCCAGAGGGGAAAGTTGGGGGAAATGAGGTCATTAGAATCCTTGGAGCGAGATCCCAAGAGTCAGTACACATGTCAGGAATCATTTGGTCCAGCAGATGCTGTGAGCCCTAGGAGAATTCACTTTCTTTGCTTGGTTAGTCTTTGCTACCATTTGCAGATGGCTCTCTCCACAGAACTGGGGGTTCTGCCCAACTGCTGCCCTGAAGTCATGGACAGATCGCTGGGAAGAGGGGAGGAGTCCAGGGTCCAGGCTTTGCTGTGGTAAGACCCCAATAAACTGGGGATACACTCCCCAGATTTTCAAGGGTGTGACTTTTCTTCTTTTAATAAAATTCCTTATTAAATGTAATTATATTTTATAG